ATATATATATACATATATATACATATATATATATACATATATATATATATATGTGTGTGTAATGTGAAAGTTTCAAAGAGAGAAATTACGATCTGACATATGTAAAAAAAAAGGGCACTAATCAAATATACCGACGTAAATGTCCGAGGATGAAGAAAAGAAAAGAAAAAAAAAAACGGCCAACGAAACACGTGAAGAACACGTTTCGAAGGTACGAGACGTCCCACGAAAATATTTCAACGCACACGAAACGTCCGTACGAGACATATACGTCGAGCTTACGAGTTTAAGAGATTTTGAAGTTACGAAATATTCGCAGTTGTGCAAAACGTGTCCACAGTGACGAATTAACGCGCGACGACGAGTAGCTATTTTAAACGCAAAAGATCTTGAAGCTGGCGAAGATAATTCGCAAAAGGTTCCTACGTTCTGAATACTTTCGTGAGACGTCGGTACAACGGTTACAAACGATATATATATATATATAGATAGAGATAGACAGAGAGAAAGAAGCAAGAGAGAGATAGAGAAAGAGATAGAGAAAGTTTGAAGACAGAAACTTACCCCTGGCTGTTTTAAATTTCGCGGAGCCTGGCTTACTGAAACCAATCGCGTTGTGCGCCATCAATTCCACTTTGTAGAACGTGTCGGAGTACAAATTCTTGAGCCAGTGCCTCAGCCTTCCTTGAGTCTTCACGTCCTCTGTGCGACAGGTGTCGTCCAGCAGCTGCCAGTCGCCGGACACGCGTTTTATTTGACAGTATTTGACTCGATACATATCGATCGGCTCGCCGTTATCGGCCGGCGCCAGCCAAGACAGCTCGTATTGGTTATTGAACCTGGACAGATCGTACTCGCCGGTCGGCGTTAGTATCTTCGGCTCGTTCGGGAACGTCCTCACAGGCGTGATCTCCCGGTGATACGCTCCCCAGTTGCCAAGGCCGACCTCGTTTCTCGCCGCGAATCGAAACTCGTAAGATGTCTGCGGCTTCAGACCTTCCAGCACGTAGAACGAGTCTGCAAACAAAACAGGGTGGAACCAGAAACTCCAAGAGAGAAGAAGGTTGATTCATTCATTTGGCATTCCTTCACTCACCGATGGTCCACGTCTTGTTCCTCGCTTGCATCCAGGTCTGGCCTTCCTCCTTGTACTGGACGGTGATGGTTCTCACGGGGAGCTCGGGGTTGGTGCTAGGCGGCACCAGGTCGAATCTAATGGTGGTGGCGGTGATCTCAGCCATCTTCGCCTGCAGCACCTCCCCCGGCTTCGTGGCTTCCCTCAGCTCGATATTCCGCTCGCGCGTGCCGTGCGTGTTCGAGGCGATGCACTTGTAAGTGGTGTAGTACCGCTTGTCCAGCGGCACGATCATCAGGGTGGATAGCGGGCCGTTGCCCAGCTGCTTGATCATGTTGTCATTGTCGATCCTCTGGTCGCCGTGCACGGTCCAGCGGATGGTGGCGTTCGGTATGCTCTCGGCTATGCAGCTGATGTTCACGGGCTTCTGCTCCCACGACCAGACGCTGGTGTTCGGCATCGAGGCGAACGACGGCGGGAACTCGACCGTCAGATGACCGTTCCGACGCGCCTCGCCACCCGCGTTCTCCGCGATGCACTCGTACAGGCCGTCGTTCGATCGCAGAGAGTCGCTGATCGTCAATCGGCCCACCGTCTCGCCGGTTATGTCGTCGGCGCTGTTGGTCAGGATGATCCGATCGTCGTCCAATTGCGCTCCCTTCACGTACGGCTGATCGTTGGTCAGCTTCCTGAAGGTGACCTGCGGCGGCGGCCTGCCAAACGCCTTGCACACCAGGCTAGCCTCTCTGTCCTGCACCACCGTGCTGTTCAAGAACTCCATGATCTTCGGCTTCACGATCACGTTCACGCGGATGTTCGTGTTCGCCTGGCCGGCCAAGTTGGTCGCCGTGCACTGGTACTCGCCGGCGTCCTCGCGGTTCACGTTCGTGATCGTCAGCACGCCGGTGTCCGGCTCCACGCCGAAGCGATCGGCGTTCGACAGATTCTGATGCGTCAGCGACTTCACCCACGTGAATTTCGGCGGCGGTTTACCACGGGCATTGCACTGTATGCTCGCGTCTTCACCCTCGATCACGTCCACCGGGCTCGAGAGCTCCTCCACCGTCGGCCGTATGTGAACCTGTTAAATGAAACGCAAACCTGCTGATATATATATATATATATATATATACCTGTGGCGGCATTATCGCTGTACATTGGGAATAATTGGCGCAACCAGCCCCGGGCAGCATGGATACTACAAACCAGAGAAGGGAAACGAACGGATTGGCCGAACCTGATGTTTCATTTCATTCTGTTTGCCTTGCATAATTGGACGGTACTTTGGCTCTCTCTTGATTCTTTACAGTTCTTTACACTCGATACTGCGCGCCGGATTTCTACGGATTTTTGTTTTTGAACTTTTTCGCCCGTGGATAGAACATTTACGGGACGGCATCACGTTCTTTCAGTATTCGTGGGAAAAGGTTTGCGGCGTGCATCACACTTTGACTTTGGCAGACACTAGAACCGTGTTATCAAAATATATTCTATTTAAAACAAATAGATTTGTACGATTGTCTTTGTTCAAACTTGGAAATTTATATTAATTTTGACGAGAGTGGAAAGTCTGAAATCATATCGACAGTCGAAATAATAAAGTTGCACAATTATTTTATAAAACTTCTGTAACGACCAACGTAATTAGATAAATGAAAATATCTATTAACGTTGGAACAACTGCATCCACACTGCATAGACATGGAAATATTCCATGTCTACAAATCGTCATTCTCGTTAACTAGATTGGTAATTAAAATAAACAGACTTGCACGATTACAGCTTCGTTCAAACAGAAATTTACATTAAATTTACTTTTGACAAGAATGACTACGTATTTTGAGAAAGTCTGAAATCATATTGCTATGAAGCATCGAAATAATAATAAACGTCTACGATTAAACAAATGAAAATATCTATTAACGCTATTAACAACCGCATAAAAATATCCTACGTGCAAATGATTGATAATTAAGATAAATAGATTTGTTCAATTACGTTCCAAAGAGAAATTTATATCAAGCGCTTGAAAGATATTCTTTTGTAGAAAATAAAAGTCTAAAATCAGTCCAGTCAGTTAAAATTGCACGATTACTTGTAAAAACTTATTGCAATGACAGCTCCAAGAAGTAATATATATTTGTCTCACAGGCAACTGTGTCATTTCAAACATCTCGCCGAAAGATGTGTGTGAATAATCGCATAATAATTGAAAGGTGAAATATATACGCACCTCGACCCGAATAGGTCGTTCTTTCAATTCTCCTGTAGTCAGCACGTAAGCACGACAAGTGTAAATACCGTCGTCGGATTCTTGAACGTTCTTGATCTTCAGGGCATACGTGTCTATAATGTAGTGGTCGTTCGTCTTAATTAATTCGCCGTTGTACAGCCAGTCGACCGAGGGCGAGGGCCTCGCCCGCACTTTGCACTGAATGGCGTAGTCTTCTCCGAGAATAGGGTATTGATTGGGCGGTGCATTGTCCCAAGTGATCGCAACTACGAAACAGTAATTACTCCTTGATAATTTCCCGTGTCTCTTGCTTCTTTCCCCGAAGAATTCTCTCGGGTCTCGAGGATTCCCCTCCACTCGAGAATCCTTCGTCAAGCCATTTCTCATTAAAACGTTATAAGAAGCATTCTATTAAAATTAATTCGGATTCACAGAGAAAGTTCAAATAAAATTTTGCTATCCACTCTCTGCTATGTTTCTCTTTTTTTTTTTTTCCTCTCTTTCTCGAAGGTAAGGAAATTATTTGTATTTTCGAACTGTTGCATTTCGAGAGAATAAGATTGTTAAAGTTTGTTAAACGAGATTTCTGCGACGCGTTTGTACGATTCGAGAAATTTAAATCGAGAGAGATTTAAATGTTTTCACTACGTCGCGGTTTAAACAAGGATTTTAATTAAAAAGTTGAACGGGAACTTTTCATCACGTTTGCAAGTTCAAATGTTAAAAATCCTCCAGGTTCTGGAAATCTTAACTATTCGCGTGAATAGGAACGAAATTTCGCTCACCTATGGTGTCGATCGTCACGGACTTCTGCAGCTGAATCGAATTCGCGTACGTAGCCTTGCACGTGTATTTGCCAGCCTGTTGTTCTTGCAGAGAGTTGAAGAACAAAGACAAGCTGTTATCCTGGAGCAATTCGGTGTACATCGGCGGCTTCGAATGGCCCGGCGTGCTACGTGGGATAATTAACAGTCACTGTTATTATTACGACAACTTTTTACGCCCTGGTCACAACCATTCTAACGACGAGAACATACTATGTGACACGGTGAGACGATGGTGATGACGATAAGTGAGATGTGTTCGTTCGTTGTGAATGTGGAGCGTTGCAGAGTGAGTAGAAAAATCGGCTCGGTGTTTCGCGTTGATCGACGGTTTCTCGCGATTTTCGCGTCACACGCGAAATGATCGACCACTTGACGCTCACGTTGCACACAGTGGTGTGGTATGGTATATACATACAAGTGTATCAACAGGGATCGACTCTTCATGCAAAAATGAATTAAACCAGAGGTGGCTAACTGGCGGCCTTTGCCCCCCACTTTTCTCATTGCTAGCGCTACCCCCTCCACTGCGTCGATCTCCCCACTGCGTTGACAGTTTCCAATAATACTCGTATTATATACGTATACATGTAGATTGCTTTCTTCTGCCTTTTCTAATTGCTAAAGTTAAAGGAAGATAGGGAAACGAATTTCCTCTTGTGGAGAAACCCGCATAGATTGAACGAACAACAGCTAAAAGTGCAGAAGAAGTTTGCGCCACCTCTAGTTTAAACCGTGGTCTCTGCGATCTTCGGTGATTCGGTGAGAGTAAAGATAACAACATCAGAGAACGTAAAAAAGATGGAACGTAGAAAGAGCCGTGCAAATCATCCGAGCGTCAGGCGATTAAAGAAAATCGACGACGAATCGTAGCACTTTGTCGCGCGCGCGGTCGATCGATCGATCGATCGAACGAACGAGAACGGTATCCGGGAATACCGGAGGTATTCCAGAGCTCGTAAATCGCTGGCAAAACATCTAATCCGTATTCTAACGCGAAACAGCGAGCCGATATCGGTGAAATATCGTTACGAGGCGGGGCTGTACACGCGGCCGAGGACAGAACGCGCCGCGCGCGTCGAATTCGGATCGATGGGAGAGAGGAGTGAGGGCTTGCCGGTGTGGTTTCGAGGGATCACACAGTCCAGAGTTCGCAAATCGATCGACCTTAATTCGACGTAAGAGCCAGATCGAACCGGTTGCTTCTCCTCTCAGGCAACGAAGAAGGAGAGACTAGTCTCTACCTGGCTCCTGAGCTGTTGAACGCGGACAGCTAGCAATCTCGTCGTCATCGTCGTCGTTATTGTTCGTGTGTTGTATGAACGACCCGGTGAAACTGGTGGGTACGAACGAGGCGCATTCACATGGATTCACACAATTTAACAACACCGCATGACAGAGTACTGCCTCGGAGATAAGGTTCTGGCAACACAGAGATGCTGAATCGCGTCGTAATGAATGGCTTTGGATGCGGATCCGAATGGCTGGCTTCTCCGACCGGAGATACACGCTTTAACGAACCCTTTCGATTAGGAGGTGCCGGAGTTTGAGAGAGAGAGAGAGAGAGAGAGAGAGACCGGTGATTTCGCAGCCTGGAGGGAGAGGAAAACCCGCGGGTAAAAATGAACGCGGTTGATTCGTGGGTTTCGAGGTTAGAAATCAACAACTGGGGTCTTCTAGGGTCAAACGATGCTGGATCGAGTGGTGCTCGGGGTTGGTCACCGTTTCGTTTTTCTCGTCGAGGATCGATTAATTACTTACATTCACTGCACACTCGTGCGAACGAAATTTTAAATTACAATTCACCACCAGTGTGGAAGGATACGCTTGATTCTCTGTGACTTCTGTCGTAGAAAATCCTACAAGAATCGTGGAAAGTTTCCTACTTGAAGTCTGCGCGAAAACGTAACAGCCAACCTTCAACCATAAGTGGTAACGCCCCGTAACGACCAGCCGCGCATTCCGATTACCCAACTTCAACCTTTACTTAACCTCCGTTCCCACGAACATCCACGTACATGTTAGTCAAAAAGAAAAACGTTTCACGAGAGAGAGAACGATCACGCAGAGTTGGGCAAAACGAGATCTGATCAATGATTAAAATGATGATGATTAATATGGAATGAGGATATCAATCATTGATCGGCAAATAATTAATAATTAATAAAAAAATATGAATTGATCAATAAATCAATCACGAACGATTAATGAATAACGTAAGTGATTACAATCATTGTATTCGAAGGCGACGATTAACTTCATGATCATTAATCGTAAAATGATCGCGCATCTTTGATTGTTTATTTCTACATGATTATTGTTAGTATTGTTTTGCAATGTGCCCTGACGTGATAAAAACTGTCCATCGACCGAAATCGAAAGTATAATTGCAACAGCGTAACTTATCGACTCGATGAGGATGAACTTTAATGATAAACTTGCCGAGTTTTTTGATTGATTCTTGTATAAAAAGATATGTACATTAGAGAAACATAAATTTTGACGGATTATTATAAATTCAATAGTACAGATACTTTGACAACGCATAAACATTCTTTCTCGTCTCAGTGTCTTCCAATAATAGTAATAATAAACATTTAATTATATTGAACAGATCAACCCTAAGTGATTAACGACGTTCGACAACACGTTATGTCAATGCGAAGAAATAACACGTTACATGGTAATAAATTAATCACTCAAATAATTTAAAATTACCGATTAATAACTACAAACTGTAAAATTCAATCAAGATCACTGATTTCTTTTAACAAAAAAAAAAAAAAAAACGATTAATCGAATGACGATTACGATCACAATGATTGCTATTTAATAATTGATTTATTGCCCAACTGTGCGGTGAATCCCCACCGAGAAGGTGGCACGTGAAATCAGAAGAACCGCGAGAAGAGAAAGAAAGAGAGAAGGTAGTGGAAACACATAGAAGAGAATATTTTCAACAGTGTACGTGTGTACGTGCGCATGCTGCCACTTGCCAGTTTTACGTTTCTCAAATGATCCACAGTTGACGATTTAAAAGAAAGAAAAAAGAAAAAAAATAAGGTTACGATCTCTCCTTAATTCGCCAACTAACTCAGAAGCGAGGAACTTCGAATCGGCAGAAGATAGCAAGCAACGTTAGTCCGACGATTATGCAATAATAGCGTTTCTTCCCGCCTAATCGGTGAACACCGGCCCCGGTAAGTACGATTAATGAAACGGTTCTCGGAGTGGGTACACGCGTCTCTCGCGTTGAATTTATTGGCCATTACTCCGCCGCGACGAGCGGACATAATTATGCAAATCGCTCGGGGTCCGCGTAATCGGGCAAACACGCGAGAGTTCCCGACGAATCAGTTACCGCTCCGTTCCGGATTGTTTGATCCCGTTGTTCAATATTTGCAAGACGCACGCCCCCCTCCCCCACCAACACGTTATTCAACCATCGAAGGATCGATCCTCCGGTTCGCGTCGCGTCGAACGCAAGATACGATCGTACGAATGGACACACGGATCCGTTCTCGTTGATCCAGTGCCTGTGTCCGAGTCGAGCACGAGGCAAAGTGTGTGCTCCCAGCTCACCCTCATGTCCCTTGTTTTGATTAATTGTATGGCATACGCGCGACGAAACCGGCACAATTATACGCTCGAGATCGATCGGGGAGCGGTTCAAGGCCGCTCTCTCTCTTTCAACTTCCAGAATATACCGGTCAGACCTGGGTGTTTCGAAGAAATTTCAAGTAACATTATTTCTTCCGAAAATTATTTATTTCTGAAATCACTTGTATGATAATCTAAAGTAACGAATTATCAGATATTTTGTGTTGAAATTGAGTTAATTTATTACCAATTAAATGATTTTCATTTTTAAATTACTTTTTGAAATTATTTCTGAAATAATCTGTATAATAATCTAAAGTAACGGATTATTAGGTATTTCGTGTTGAAATTGAGTTAATTTATTACCAATTAAATGATTTTCATTTTTACTTTACTTTTTGAAATTATTTCTGAAATAATCTGTATAATAATCTAAAGTAACGAATTATCAGGTATTTCATGTAGAAACTGAA